TTTCCGTTGCTAGTAATGACACTTGTGTAATATAATATTTCATAGGAATTATTTCAAATTTGTTAAAAAACTGATTCTGACTGAGATTTTGACACTTAAACAAACATATCTCAACCTAACCGAACGATGCGAAGTACAAAAACTAATCTCACTAGAGAGGGCGCACTTTATTGACTGTATAAAGTATACATAAAAGCGAGAGTATTCCAGTGGATGCGATCTACAACCTCTGAATTTGCCTAGTAACGATGAATTCGTCGAGGAAATGGTAATATTTTATGAGAAAGTCTGTATTTCTCATTTTTTTTATTCTTTTGCGTAAAACTAAAATTCATGCCAATATTTTTCCATGATTTATAATAATTGGAGTAATGCAAATGCATATTTTCTAAAAAAAGTCATTTTTAGTGAAATTTTGCCGGGAATGGGGCTTTAAAATTTGTGGACATTTTCACGTATCGTGAAATTCGCGGTAAGCGCTACATTCGCCAAAATTTCACCCTCGTGTGAATAACAACTTATACAGTAATTAATTAATTACAAGGGCTATGTTTAAACAACAACATTCCACTTAAACTATAGAGGGATAGTACTGTAATGTATCAGTCTATCTGTAGTGGGAAATCAGGAAGTAATTGACCTTTAACCTTAAGGTCAAGTGTTCAAATCCATGATTTGAATCACACTATCTACCTGTATTGGCAAAGTCCTTGGGAAACACTTTTCTCTCCAAGCAAAATTTTTATAGAGATAAATAATTCATGAGGAATATGTATACTTATTAAGAATACTGAATGCATTGTTTTTAGCTCCATGATTTTGCCTGTATACTAAAAATTCAGGCTTGAGGAGGAGGTTACACCATGGATGAGCAAGTTGTGATTTTCCATGATTACTCACAATTTTCATTGCTTTTGTTTGTGGGACCTTTGTTAGACTTTCCATCCATGAAAATTTTTTTAATTGGGGAAAAACACTGTAACTTTTATAATTGTTCAAAAAATTAAGGTCAGCTTCAGCTTTTCTGCATTTTTTCCAATCTTCCTAGTACTACATTCATCCTTGCTAACATAAATGTAATTATCATTAAATTCCATACTTGCAAGGCCAAATTTAAAAAAAAGTGTTACAGTACCCAAACTGACACAACCCAAAATCTTAAAAATCCAGTTTTTGTTTGTTTTTTTGTTTTTGTTTTTGTTGCTGTGGTAAAATATACAGTATTTTTTTATGAGGATTCTAAAATAAATGTTGAAAAGGTCACTCTTTAAATTTTAAGCTTTTAATAAATGTACCATGGACTACTGGAATGAGTGATGTTAAGAAATGACCCCTAAAATTAGCCCTTTTTTAAAGAATAATGAAAGAAAAACATCCAGGTTTCTAAATTGCTTTTTGCTAATATTAAAGTTAGGCTCCGGATGTTAACAGATTTTTCCATGACACAAAAAGCATATTTGACGAGAAACTCGGCAACGGTTAATGACGTGCAGATTTTATATATTAAAACTTGGGGGAAAGGTAGAAAATAGGGTGGTTACATTTTTGTCATGCTTTTTGTGTGTTAAAAAAATCAATTGTTTAAGATATCAACAAACAATTTTCCCCTGAAGCCTGGTTTTAAAGGTGGAGTTACACAGTAATTTGTATGCTAAGCACATAATTGAGTGACTTTCATGCACCCTGTCTACTATACTGTACAGTAGGCCTATTCTCATCTACTGTACAGTATGTCTATACTGAATAGTTATTGAGTCTTATGTTCACATTGTCTGTATTTGATTTGTTAAAGGTACAGTGACTGTCTATCTTAATTAAGCACAGTAGCTATGCAATGCATCGAGTACTGGGTGACCACCATGTTGAGAATTGCAAAGTATGTTTGTACCATAGGCTTAGCCAGCGAGCCTTTCCGGCCGTGATAATATACCGATATTATTATTACCCGATATAATGTTGTTGGTGTTCATAACTCTCTGGTTATAATTAATTCATAAAATACCGTAAAGATTTGTTTCTAACTTCACAAATTAAATTTTATTACAGTAGTCAACAAAATACAGTAGGTCTACCGTAGTCATATCTCTCGATTTGGAGGACCTAGAGTAGAATTTACACTAACCTAAGGTGAGAGATGAAGATGCATTTGCATTGCCTAGAAACATTATGTGAGTAACCGTAGCCGTGTGCAATCTACAGGTATGTCTATCTGATTCTGTAATAGCTAATTGAACACTATTCCTTTAAAGACAAAATTCCAACATTTAAAGCACCTTTGTAAATGCCCTCTAAAGATCATAATTTTCTTCTTTTTTTTCTTATGTTTGGGAGGGGGCGTGGCCCACCCATCAGCTTAGGGTCACGCCTACTGACTTCCATTTTAAACGGCCTATTTTGTTTTTTTCTAACTAAACCCCTGGTTAGTACTGTACACTAATTTTACTAATCTGGCCTTAAGATAAGTTCAAATAGTGATATATATATTTTATACAATATTTATTTAGTAAAAAATTATCTGCTTTGTTGTTCCAATTACAGTTGTTGCTTACTGTACCTTAGCAATGGTTTCGGCAACTAATTGGTTAACAAAACATAACTTTCTACTATACTCATGGAACCAGATGAAAGGTATTAAAGGTTCAAACAAACTGACATTCTATTCATTGTTTTCATACTGATCATCCTCTCATTTCACTGTAGCCATAATCACATTAGCAAAAGATCGGATGGATAGAACAGCTTAATGGACAAGTTACACACCTTCATGTCGTGGTATTCTGGGCATGTCTCCAGACATCCGGATATGTACAAGACAAAATACTTGAACTCAATGGTCCCTCAAACAGCTGATCCTACACCATAGAGTCCATGGCATAGGAACAACTTATTGAGATACTGTACTTTGAAAAAATAGTACAGAAAAAGTTCTGTGTGAATCAAAATTAATGCAACTAAAGCAAAATGCAGGAATTTGTGAACATGAATGGCATTGGTAAGATTGTCTCTACCCAGTGTCAATCCTAAAAGCACTACAATAACTATACAGTACTCAAAATACAAGAACTTTCACCACACATAGCTACTGTACTGCTGTAGCAGGGGTCCTATGAGCACCACTGGAGAAAAACGTACGACCTGCATCCCAGTTGGTCCATATTTGCACCACCATTCCTCCCAAAGGCAATCCTAGACACAGCCAAAATGGTGTTATTTATTAAAAATGGGAGAATGCGTAACTGGCTGGCTGGATAAAAGCGAGTTTGTCCATGCCTACGAGCAATATTCAACACAGCAAATCTGCGAATGACAAATTATTCCCTACATTTTTCATTAACTAAATTCAAGCAAGCAGATTGTAATTTACATCATTTACTTATTGCCTTCTGCATGCTATCCTCAAAATCTGCATTAAGAAATTTCAAGGTAGGCTGGTGATAGACAGGCAAATTAGAAACTGTTCCAGGAGCGAGGCCATTATTAGCAGGGTTAATGATTATTAATATTTCTTAGGGCCTGCGAAAAGATTACACACCTGAATAACCATCAAAAAGACAATCAATTGTAGCTGAATCTAACACTTGGTGGGTTTGAAGGGAACAATGACTAGGGTAGGGTAGGTGTATGCAGATCCGAGCAACCTGAAAGCTAAGAAAGTTAATGGTATTAAAGGGTCTGGGCCTATTGTTTATTAGCACTACTTACTACCAGCAACTTGCACTATGGTCCTAGGAACATATACAAGAGAAGCAACTATTCACCCTCACACTTTGCATGTAATAATTAACACATCTTTACTGTTTATCACACATTTACAACATTATTTATTCTTATATTACTTATATAATCAGTAAATAAATACTAGGCTTCTAGCTTTACTAGTCTTATGAAATCGTTATACAGTATTAGCTTGTCAAAGTAATGTTTATAAAAATAATTGTAAATGCTACCCAAAGACAAGTATTCCCTGCTTGTAATTTTCTGCAGATATTATTCTCCTATTAAGACGATTAAAGCAACTCAATTGAAACGTCGAGACATTCTCAAACAAACAACAGTTGTTTTCAGAACTATCTACGTGGTGTACCGCAAGCATTAATATCTTAATTCTAATTAATATCTTATATAAGTATTTCTACAGTAAATCAGATTTTGCAGCAACTAACTTACTAATCACAATAGTTTCTGTATTTTTTTTTTTATTGTTCAAAGAAACGTCATTACACATTTTAATTTAAGTACATTCCTTAATCAATAGATTTTTAATCTAATTTATAACCTCTAGAAAGGCAATTAGACAACCTAAAAATGTCACATTTTAACTGATCAGTCACTAATCCTAGTTACCATTTAGTGACATGTAATGGGTTATTAGTTTTGTGCGACCTCTATACTCTATTCTATACTCTATATTCTATACTGATGACTGTTTCAAGAAAAACCACATTATCTATGGGACTATGCAAATGTCACATGGTCACTTAACCCGGATGCCCACTGTGTCGGCCAATGTGGTTCCATGGAGATCACAATACTACCGCAGTAGAAACCATGCTTTTAGCATTACCAAAATGGATAGTGATATTATTACTTTTAGATGTTGTAACACCATTGCAACGCTATGAATTCAAAGGTTGACCATCTCGCTACTAAAAAAAAATGGGAAATGAAATGTACATAAAATAAACCAACTAATGCATTCATTCATACCTTTCTTTGAAGTCAGTTCATCCTATCAAATGTGCTAATCTCATAGAAGAGTACATCCGCTTCCACAACATCCCGCTGCGGTCTTCTGGGGTTGGAGTAGATGCATTATTTCAACAACACAGTCCGCAAAAATCTCATTCACATTTTGGCGAGTTTTAGCTGATGTCTCATAAAATGGAACGCCCCATCGATTCGCCAAAATCATCCCTTCACTTGTGGGAACTTGCCTTTCTTTATCTAAGTCTGCCTTGTTGGCAACGAGTACAATCGGTACTGTGTCTTTACCCTTGACTCGCAAAATTTGTTCCCTTATATTTACAACATCACCAAAACTTTGTTTACTTGTAATACTAAAAACTATCAGGAAACCTTGTCCATTACGAATGTATAAATCCCTCATCGACGCAAACTGTTCAGTTCCTGCTGTATCCAAAATTTCCAAAATGGCCATCATATTTTCAACCTCGATTGCTTTGCGGTAAAAATCCTCAATCGTTGGATCATATTTCTCAACAAAATTTCCAGAGACGAATTGCACAGTTATCGCACTCTTACCAACTCCACCGGCCCCAAGGACCACAACTTTGTATTCCTTCATAGTTTTTATAGACGTTTAGTTTGATAGTGTTTATCACTACACACTCCACAAGCTAAGCCTTGACCCACCAGTAGAAGTTAGTTCTAAGCGAATCCCAGGCCTATGCTGTTGTACTCACAATAACAATACGAGCTTCTGAACAGGTAAAGACAGGCCTAGCCTACAACTACTACACTAGGCCCAAAACTTTAAAGTTTGTAAAATTCCAGAGCAGCGCTTAGTGTTAATAAATGAACACTAACGGTAAGTGTTGGTTGATTTGTTCAACCCAATATGAAATCGGCACATGGTGTCATACTGTAGTCCACAAGTGCTTTAAATCGATAAATCTAAAAAAATACCAACATGAAACTGTATCAAAACCGTATTACGTATGTCCCGTGAGTGGCACACACACACAGTAGCCTACAATACTTTCGGAACGTGCAATGTATGTGACCAGCGGGCGCGGCATGAACACCTAAGTTACAAGAAAAACAACTCGCCTTAACGCGGAAGTGAAGTTATTACGTTAAGCATTACTACGCCCTCTGCTATTTTAGTATAAATATCGTTAACAAAGCTCGCTAAATACAATAATATAATAGTAAATAATTGGAACCCTTAAAAGTAATAAAGATATAGCAAACAAATGAAATAGAAAACGAATGGTTCTATAAAAATTAATTGTAATGTCGGTTCGCTCACCGAGGTAAAAGGTTTTTAATTTTTTTTTTGTAAAAATGGTCAACAGAGGGCGCACTATAATAATTATTATTATTAATTACTGTATAGTACTACTGTAGTTAAATGTGTCGCACTAAGATATTAATAAAGAAAAGATTTCTTCGTTTTGTTGTTGTAATATTTCTTCCCGTATTTCTTTCTTCATGGTGGGGATGAGGTGAGTATTGACACGCTTGGTAGTCCCACTCACCATTCCATGCTCCTCCAAAGTGCACAAAAACGTTGGCTCTCCCCCCACCCCCTATGTCAAATCAAGAGATAATTTAGACAATCATGTGCACCAAATATTTGCCGACATTTGCTTTCTGGTCAAAACGGCGGCAATAAACCAAAACGGCAATAAGTCAAAACGGCAAAAAACCAAAACGGCAACACTTTTTGAACAAAACGGTAATGGACCAAAACGGCAATACGTCAAAACGGTGATCAAAACGGCCAAAGTTTTCTTTAAGAATTAAAACATATTTTCAATAAAATTTCCAAGAAATTTTTTGATATCTTGCATTATAAAAAAAAATGAATTATAAAAGAGAAAGGAAAAAAAATGGGTGGTGGGAAATCACAACAACGATAGTCATATTCGTCAAGTCATAGTTATTAATCTAGGATAGGCTAGGCTGGACAATTTTGCAAATATCTGAATGATTGTATAATGTAAATGATGAAGGCACGTCCGTACGGACAGTATGCGAATATTGTATCTTTGATGATAAAATTGCACATATATTGAAAACAATACTGTAGTGAATAAAGGTGGATAAAACCCACACGAAAGATAAAAAACTTATCACTGCCGCTTTGCTTATTGCCGTTTTCGGTTTATTGGCGGTTTGACCTGCTACCGGACATCTTAGTCGGGGGTCTGCGATCTCTAGTCCCCCTGTCGGACAGCTTAGCGCCTCCCCTTCCCCCACAGAAAATATATCCTGCCGCCACTGTTCGGCAATAAAATATTCCTTGGTAGGGCTCGGGGAAAGTTTTCATGGCTAGTATTGTCCAAATGACCTCAATATTAGGGATTGGCAATTAAAATAACGTTATTTGTATATATAGGCAAATTATTATTTTATTTTTGATCTGACGACCTTGTCGTGGCGTCAGATCAAGGGAGTCCTGGCCTATCCAACGGTGGGTAGGGGGGGGGGTCCCTCTCCACTCGCTTGTACCACCACAGATGTGCGTATCAGTATCCTCGACCAGAGCGGCCACAGAGTGAGCAAAGAAATAAATAAATTAGCTCAAGTTGTTGAAAATCACCTCATATCACCTTATTTTGCCAGCTTACCCACCTAGCACCGGCGCCTCCACCAACCAAACCACCAACCCCCTCCCCAACCCCTTGTTGTCAATAGATTGGCCTACTCCACTGATGACAAACTATTCTCGGGACTCTGACTGTAACACATTTTACGACTGCTTTGAATTGTATAATTTTAGTGTCATCATCATCATCATCATCATCATCATCATCATCATCATCATTATTATCATTATTACAATTTTTACTACTACTACTAATAATAATAATTAATAATAATAATGATAATAATGATAATAATGATGATGATGATAATAATAATAGTATGATTATCATAAAATACTTATAACACGAATGTTATAGCACAATCTGCCAAAAAAAAAAAAAAAAACTTCGATGCGATGCGCCTACAACAAAAGATGCAGTAGATAATTATTTTATTTTAACTTTTTATGATTACATTTCTGATGTTACCGGCCTATGTTACATTATTAATAATATTATGTTATTAATGATATTATTACTAATAAATGATGTATTGAGCAGAAACGTTGAAAACATCACAAATAGGCCTACAGGAAAATTTAATACGTAGGCAACATACAATAGCCACACATGACCCACGGTGGTGGCACCAGCAGGGGTCTGAAGGGACCTCCCACGTCAGAACAGTGAAATTACAATTTCACTGTTCCCTGGTCGGACAAACCAAGATCATCCAGCCCCCACCCCCAACGTCGTCCGATTCTCATGTCGGACCCAAAATAACCCCGTTTTGATTGCCAATACATAATATTGTGATATAAATGCACACATTTGACCCATATTCAAGCCATTAAATCTCTTCCTATCAACTCTACCCGGATTTTTTTTTTTTATTATACTGATGACCCTTCCAGGAGGGTCTATCTCTTCCGAAAAACGATCTTACACGATTTCAAGCGCTATTATGTTAACCATTTTTTCCGACCACGGAGAAAGAAGCCATGTTAGAATAATTCATTTGGATGATGTAAAGGAGTTAGCTGAGAATATCATGCAGGAAATTTAAATTACAATAACTGCACGGAGACTGATAGTTAATTCGGATCACAATAAACTCATCATAGTAGAATTCTTATTAGCAATTATATAACTCAGCCTGCTGAATATAACAATAGCAAGTCATCTGTGGAAATATAAGGAATAGTGTCTATTCTTCTCAGAACAAATCTAGTTAAAATTTTATAGAAATACACAATTCAGAATTTCTCAGTAGTTAATTATTATCCCTCGTCTATTTCATTCTCAATCATTACTTGGTCAACAACGAACAAAATCATTAATTGTGTATCATCTCTTTATTTTGAAAATATTATATTAAAGTGGTTCGCTCAATGTCTACATTGATACACTTTTGAAACTCTATATTTATTATCGTTTGGATACAAACGATAATGTGATTACCCATAGACCATAAGACTCTTTTGATTGGATACTGGTTATCCATCGATGACGTGTATAGGCCTATGTTTAATTATTCACGGTGCAATTCATATTTTAACAATTGGTACCATATATTAAAATCGTTCGGTTCCAATTAATTTCAAATGCGCGTCGGGACTTGCGACACTATCATTGCGTCAGATATTTTGTTAAATATTTTTATGTCGATTTTATTTCTTCAACCAGTAGTGAAATAATTGCCGACTATCATTATAAGTCACCTGCAGGATGGTTTGTTTGAGGATGCGATATTTTAAACAGGGGGAGGGGGTGGGTCAGTTTGTGCGATGTAAAACAGGTTTTTGATAGGTTTCGACATTAGGTAAGTAAATCTTTGCATATTTTATCTATCTTAATATCTACATCTATCTATCTATTAGGAAACTGTAGTGGTTCTATTGCGCTTCTAAAATTTGTGACAACAGTTAATGCAGAGGTGGCAGTTTATTAGTGAGTTCCAGAGAACAATTGTACTTGGAAAGCTTGACTGAAACGCCTGGGTCCTAGAAAATCGTTGTCTGAATCTTAAACTATGGCTTCATGTGATTTAATAGAGTGAGATAGCCAACTGAAAATAGGTATGGAATAATATAATACCGTTGAAGAGTTCGATAAAATTTGACAAATTTTGTATTATTAATTACGGTACTTCGTCTGTCAACCCCGGTTTCTGTCTCCCTTGGGTTCTTTTACTAGGCCTAAATGTTTTGATTTGAATGATGTACAACACATTTTTCTAAGACACAAAAACCATATCCCAACTCGGGATCGGTTAATGAGATACAGATTTTTGAATATTTAAAAACTTAAATGGTGGTTACGCCCCATTTCCAGTTTTAAAATATTCAAAAATATTAACCACTTGTGGGTTTGATGTCAAATAAACTTTTTTTCTCTTATAAAGAATTAGTTGCATAATCAATTTTTGTTTCCTCAGGAACCTGGCTTTAAAACATGATTTCTACTGTAGGCCTATCTAATCCCATCTTTCTTACTTTTATTCTTCTCCATGGCCCAATATCACAGCATAATATAAGTACCAATCCATTTGAAATTAAGTACGGTACAAAATAAAATAAAATATCCCTATAATATTGTAATGAATCTGTTTGCGTTACGTTAATAATGTAATAATGATAATGCTCATTAAACCAAATAATTGTGTATCTACCTCAATTTCTATGGTCTTCCAGAAGTTGCCCGTACACTTGATGCAAGGTAACAGATAGTCATCTGTGTACATTTTGTTGATGGCTTAAGTTTCAATGGCTTAAGTGATTCACATGATATGTATTTCCGAATCAAAAACTAAATCTTTTGTCAGTAGGCCTATCTTAATATTATTTTGTTTATTATTATTATTATTATTATTATTATTATTATTATTATTATTATTATTATTATTATTATTATTATTATTATTTCGCTTATTATTAGTATTATTATTATTATTACTACTACTACTATTATTATTATTATTATTATTATTATTATTATTATTGTGTTGTTATTGTTATCATCACATTTGCTAGGTCTAATAATCATTTGTTTATTATTATTATTATTTTCATTATTATTATCACTAATATTATTAAGATTATTACTATTATTATCATTATTCAATGTTATTATTATTATTATTATTATTATTATATACCGGTACTTATTAATGAAATTAAATGTGAGGCGAAAACGTGATCAGAAATATGATAGGCTAGGTACATTATATAATTGTAAACGAATACCGGTACAGGTTATAGCATACATGAATGCGAATAAGAAAATGGTAATTTATTTAAAAGAAATAAAATTCCAAAAAAGTAAAAACAAAAACAAGAACATGTATTAATACGACCGTTATATACTATTTTGAGTAATGCCGGCCACTCACTGCGTCCGAAGGTCGCACGACCATCGCGCGACGAATCCAACTATGTGAGCGATAGACGACGCAACGCCGTCTGCTGATTGTCGGTATAGCAGTCTGAACCATTATTGGCATTTTTTGAGTTCCTATTTATGTCCATTACGGTATATATCGTAAAAATATACTTTCACCAGCACGAATCTATAAAATATTGGACGAGGACTTTTCGCGCTACAAAAGTAACACATGTGAAAAATCATTATTTAAAATACATTTTACAGTAAAGAGGAAGAGGCAGTGTAATATTCAGTATACCTAGGTAAGTGGAACCTCCCACTTCAGAGTGAGCGAGGCCGGCTGATACAATTTAAACGCGTATGTTTACTAATAAGGAATCATCACAACATTTATAGCATGTACGGTACTGCATTATCCAGTTTTACTATATTCTTTCCAGTAGATAGTTACCAACCTGAAAGATTTGAAATCCGTGACAAAACCAGTTGACTGGGGGTCGGAGGCCGCTAGGGCACCCGCTGGGGAGTCCAGGGGTTTTTGTCACATAATCAACAGTTGTGGCAATTAACTCGCAAGACGCTCCTCCTAGATTGTAAGTGCGTTGTTGGCTCAGTTTGGTAGAGAAAGAGAAAATTTGTCGGTGAATTTATTCTCGAATGAGATAACGAAAGCTCTCTAATGACTCAAGTTACTGCACGACCGTTTTTATATCGTTAATAAAAAAAATTCTTCTAATTTTAAATACATTTTCCACTGAATTCGTGATAATTCGTTATCACGCATAGAATTGTGCTAAATGCATGACAAATTTATGATCACGCATGTGTTTCTGCAAAATGTGTGTTTCATCCAAAATCACTTTGAAATGCAAAACCGTCCCGCACTATGCGAGACGGTTGGTAGCTATGCAGTATCTTACATGCTTCTGTCAACATTACTGTATAAACACAATTATTGGCTCACAGTTCTTTATTTAAATGTTAATTTGTCTTTCATATTTTGCAAAGGTCTATTGTGAAAGACGTAACAGTATTCAATATTATGCTTTCGAATATTAATCTTAGGGCCTATGGCAACACTTGCAGCTTTTGGTCGACTGGGCTTCACAGGATTATTATCTAAACAATAATACTCCGCGACGGTTCCAGAGGGGATGGTGTTAGCTCATGTCTAGACCGCCCTTTCACCTCTAACATGTATGAGTACTTTTTTAGCGGTCAAAAAATTGTTCAGATGTTGGTAAAAAGTCAGCAGCCTTGTTTCTTCGTTTGGGAAGTGTAAAGGGGAGGGATGGGGGAATCATCTGGCTAGCTAATCTCATATTTAATTTTGGCTTTCAATTAAATTTAATTCTTTAAAAAATGCCACTTTCCCAACTGACCTATTTCGGCTGACGCAGTTGAATATTGGTCAGTCTACCTTCACGAACTTTATAAAAAATAAATATTTTAAAAGGATGATAGATAATACTTATGCTTTAAATAGACATGTAGAAATATTCGATAAAAAATTAATATTATAAAATGCCAAAACACTCTAAAAAGGTGGTGAATAAAGCGTAGGTTTATATAGACCATGCGGAAATATTAATATTGAAAAGGTAACTTAAAAACAATGCCGAAACCCGGGATTGAATCAGGGACCTTTAGGTCTTCAGTCTAACGCTCTCCCAACTGAGCTATTTCTGCTGGTAAACGAGACTTTCAACCCAAGAACATAAGCCACGGCAAACGAAAAATAGTTCTAAAAAGATGATAAATAAATCGTGTTATATAGACATGTAGGTATACAATTAAATTTAACCGAAACCCAGGATTGAATTGAGTTCAATTCAATTTTATTACACATGAAAATACATCATTTGGATAATATAAAAAGGTACCGTAAATATTAAAAATTGCACATATATTAAAAATGATCTTTAGATCTTTAGTTTAACGCTCTCCCAAATGAGCTATTTCGGCTGATAGACATATTTGAATGAATCTTCAGAATACATGAACTTTTATAAAAAAATAAAATATTCTAAAAACATGGTTAATAAGCTTAATTTTAAATAGACAGGTAGAAAAAAAAAAATAAAATGCCAAAAAATTCTAAACAGATGATGAAATCGTAGTTTTAAATAGATATGGCCTATGCATGTAGGAATACTGTATTCAATCATCAAAGCTAAATAAATTTTAATTTCGAAACCCGGGATTGAACAGTTCAGTCTAACGGTCTGCCATCTGCTGACCTGGGGCTGACTTATTTGAATATGAATCTTCAGCGGCCTATTTATTCTACATGAACTTTATATATATAAAAAAAAAACTATTCTAAAAAGATGATGGATGAAGCGTAGTTTTTAATAGACATGTGGAAATATTTAAAAGAAAATAATTTTATAAAATGCCAAAACCTATAAAAGATGATAAATAAAACGTAGTTTTAAATAGACATTAAATTTTAAAAAAATATGCGGAAAAATTCTAAAAAAAGGTGATAAGTAAAGCGTAGTTTTATACAGACATAAAGAAATATTTGATAAAAAGTTAATTTAAAAAAATGCGGAAACCCGGGATTGAACCAGGGACCTTTAGATCTTCAGTCTAACGCTCTCCCAACTGAGCTATTTCGGCTGATTATCGACATCTTCAGCACAACAATATGAGCTAATGAAAACTACTAAACTACTGAAAAGACGACGAAATAAATCGTGTTATGTATACACGAAGTATAATTAAATTGATCTTTAAAAGATGCCGCTAACCTGGGATTGAACCAAAAACTTGTATCTTTCAGTCTACGCTGTCCCGATTTTAAATAGACATGTAAAAATATCCAATAAAAAAATTATTTTTATAAATTTCAAATTTTAATTTTATTCAGAATAACCTCAAAACAAGGAGAAGCATACCATGTGGCGGCGCCAGTGGGGTGTGGGGAAGCAGGGGATTAAGTCCCCCACCAGAAAGGTCAAGGCCCCCCCACCATTGAACAAAGCTCGTCGGGCAGTCAGAGTAAAATAGATATAAAAATAGGCCCACGCCAAGCCAACAACACATGTCTGTCACAGTCTGAGTGTGTCATTTCTGGCCATCCAGAGGTTCCTTTTCTTAAAAGAATCTCATTGGAGAGGGGGATCCTTTCCCAAACTCAGGCCTACAAGCTCAAGTCCCCCAGTCGGACAGTTCATCCCCCAGAAAATATATCATATGTCTTTTGTTTTTCTTCTCTCTTTATAGATCAAATACTGACGTACTTTGTATCTGTCTCTTATACACATCTAGATGTGTATAAGAGACAGTATATATATAGGTTAAAAGGCAAAATACTGAAAAACAACAATGCTGTGGGAACAATGGCTGGATCTCGGTAGAGATACAAATATGATAAACAACAGCTAAAAAGTAAACCTATGTAATCAGCCAGAAATAGAACCAGAGCTTTCGGACAACACTATACAATACAGTTCAAAAACTTCTCAATAAAATGCCGGAAACTCCTAAAATGATGATGAATAAAACGTAGTTTTAAATAACAAAAATATATATATTTTTAAAGGCCAAAGAATTCTGAAAAGATGGTGAACAAAACATAGTTTTATGTAGACATGAAGAAATAGGTAATCAAAAGGTAATGCCGAAACCCGGGATTGAACCAGGGACCTTTAGATCTTCAGTCTAACGCTCTCCCAACTGAGCTATTTCGGCTGATTGATTGTATTTGTATATCCTACCTAAACTACCGTAAATCCTTGAATAGAAGCCCTGCGCTTCTTTTTTGCGAACTTTGGATGGGCTTTTGTTCGAGACTACTTTTGCAAAGTAAAGAGGGGCTTCATTTCAAAATAAATGTTGTACATTTTGGGAATTACTACTAAAAGCAATAAATAGGGCCACCGTAACGTCAATCTAATCTGTATCACTGAGTGTATTAACCGGCATTAAATCACCTAAAATACTATAAACCACCAAGCATGTTTTTAATTTTTGTTTCTTTGAAATTCATGTACTTGGATGTACCGGAATGTAACGTACCATCAAAATGTGGATGTAACGTACCATCGAATAGAAGTCATGGTCTTTTTTCGAGATTAGCTTCTTTTCGAGTGTATTTTGCAAACTAATGAGGGAGCTTCAATTCGAGATGGGGGCTTCAATTCGATGTGTCTACTTGGTAAAAGTTAAAAAGTAGTAGCAGCTGTTTCCCATCGACCATCTTGGATTTGCCGAGTCGGAGTAGGCCAACAAATTCTAATTCTCCATTTTTTTTCAAAATATTAGGACGAGAAACTATTTATTTTTAACTTGGCCTAACTTTAATTTAATCTTTTGTTTGCAATAGATATTTTCTATTTTAATTCACATAGGCCTATTCTTGTCTTACAATCTTTCCATTGTACAGGCTCTGTCTACGATTGGGATCTCACTTCGGCGATGTATTCCATCTATGTTCTCGACAGATTTAAAGGACTTTTTAACTTGTAAAATATGATCAGAAATATATAATAAATGTAAAGTTAAAGGTAGGTCGCAATGCATTGTTGCAAATCAATGTACACATTTTGCAAAGACCAAGTCAAGATGGGTGAGTCGTAAAAACTGCAGACAACTATACAACAAATTAGTATGGTCAGGGAAGTGTGTCCAGTGTGCAAGTATTTTTGTACTGTACGTGCAGCGCGTGAGTACGCTTCTATGATGTGTTGTTTCTTATTTTTACTTTGTTTCTTTCATTGAACATTAAAATTTATCAGCTTATTTAATGTAGGCCTACTCACATACTAAACTCAGTAGACCTAAATAGTATTCTAGAAATGCGGTTACCATTCTTCATCATCATCACCAGCCGCTTTTAAAACGCGAAGCTGAGAATATCCTTACCGATGCAAGATGAGAGATAATATTGTGACATTATATGGCACCTCTAGATGGCCGGAAATTGCACGGCACAGAATTAAAATTTGAATATAATTTTCTTTTTAACCTTTGTCAAATTGATGGGGCCGGCTGGGCCCCTCGTTAATTGCCACTGGATATAATACAGTAATATGTCCTATATATTTCAGAGACACATTATGTTGTTATGTATTAACAAAGTCATTTGTGTTAGGGTGCCAGATCAAGGACCCTATACGTATGGGACCTTTGGAGGCCCCTAAGCGTAGGGGCCACTTTGCATATTGTGTCAGTTCGTATATTATCTCTTTCTAACCCGCGCATGTTGTCGTGTATTTGTTTAACAAGTATAACGAAAGGTCCGTTACCTTGGTTACGTCGGGATATCAAAGAAGAGGCCTATGATAATAATTATATTATGGTATTGGGTTTTTAGTAACAATGAGGATTCCAGCTTTTTTTAAACATTATAAACAACCCATGCCGGGCTCTTTCAAAATTTACGCTAATAAACCTGAACATTAAAATTCAATTTACGAAAACAAATTGTTTATAAGTATCTAAATTGATTTGGAAATTATAATGCAAAATATTTCCATATCCCAATAAAAATAAAATTACCGTTCAAATAGGCCTATTCTTTTTTAGTATCCTTAATTTATTCTTCCAGTGGATCAGCCTTAAATGGCAGCATCGACGATATATTATTATTTAGGCCTATTATGGTTATCATGAATTATTATTATTATTATTATTATTATTATTATTATTATTATTATTATTATTACAGTATTATTATTATTATTATTATTATTATTATTATTATTATTATTATTATTATTATTATTATTATCATACGTATATGCATGTACAATTGTTTAGTTTGTTTTTCGTATGTTTTCCTATTAAAGTCCCGACCACAACGGTGTCGAGTACTTCCGCCAACATATGCACAACACAACTTACTACTACGGAGATAGATAGCTCTACTACTACGGATACGCCTACGCCTACGCCTACGCCTACGCCTACTCCTACGACTAAAACGCCGCCAGAAGAGGTACCGGTAAGCCTAAATGATTCAATCTCTTAAAAATGCTTTATTTTTCGGGGTTTCTTTTCTCCAGGGTTAAGTCTTTCCATCTTCTTACCCAATTTTAGTTTAAATTTCATTTTAATCGCGGTTGCTTACTTGAATTGGTTATGCATAACAATATGATGCCTCTTCTGTGTATTATAATACGTTGTATGAATAATGCGAACGATGTTTGTTTGATAAACGTGTCTTCGGCGGCTTACCCAAGTTATTACTTTGGCGTGATGTGTGCTTATTGTGATTCAATCTCGTATAATATCTGCTTTATTATTCGGGTCTTCCTTTCTCCATCCAATGTTGAATCTTTCATCTTCTTACCCAATTTTAGTTTAAATTTCATTTTAATTGCGGTTGCTTATTTGAATTGGTTATGAAGTTTAAAAAACATAATATGATGCCTCTTATGTGTATTATAATACGCTGTATGAATAATGCAAACGATATTTGTTTGATAAACGTGTCTTTCGGCGGCCTACCCAAGTTTTGGTGTGATGTGTGCATATTGTGAATCTAATGTTCTAATGATATCAGCTTGACTGAACCTAGGTGGCCAACTTCCATCTATCTAATTTGTTCATGTTTTATTTCGATTATGAACGACCAAGATTAAGCGAGTCTAACATCAGCCAAATCCCGGAGCGTGGTCTATCTATATAATAGGGCCTATGTAGCGGTGAAATAGATATGAGTCTGCATTATTATCTGCCAATGAAGTAGGAGGAGGTAAAGTTTTCGCCCCTGATTATTTATTTATTTATATGTTTATTAATGAATGAATGAATGAATGAATTAATATATGAATGAATGAATGCCGCAATATTCCATGACCAAGATCTGGAAGTGACAAAATTTTGAAGGGTCAGGGTCAAGGGTCCAGGGCACAATGAACGAAAAACCATTTTTTAACTGTCTGCCGTATAGACCGTATGTGTGCTTAAGGGGTTTGCCAAAGAAGTGTAACAAAGTAGCATTCATTTTACAACGGTTCATTTGACAACAGTTTGGTAGTGGTTAGAAAAGAGTGTTTTCCAAAATACTTAACCCAGGTTCGAATCACATAATGTCTATTTTATTTTTCATTATCTATTATTTCATTTTCCGTACTACCATTAGTATTACTAAACATATTTTTACCGGTCCAGCCGTTTAGGCATCAGCACTGCATTGCATGGGGACAATATGCGTGGGGAATTTATATAGAGAATTATGATGTGGGCGGAGGTATGCGCTCTCAGAGTGCTTTCTAGTTGACTCTTTTTTGCATGGGGGTTTTCGTCTTTGCCTAAGTTGTTCTTTCTCATGCAGTATCGTGCTATCCGTCTGTTGTCCATTCGTTAATTTTCTAAGCCCTACTCCTTTCTTTCGTGTGGTTTGAATGATATAGTCACTTGTTTATCGAGTATTTTATGCATGATATATTTATTTTTTATATTTTAATTAAATAAAAGGTATTTAAGATAAAGTTAATACCTTTCTATTTATTGCTAAAATACGCTCAATGTCAAAATACATTATATTCTTACCAACAAGCGCTGTACCAAAAAAAACACTGAGATTGTTCATTAAGCTGTATATAAAAAATATTTCCGGCCGAGGCTAGAATCTCTTTTAATAATTGAGGTCGTTTAAAACTAATTAGCATGTAGCCACATGCTTGGTCAACTTCCAAACATTCATAACCATTCTTTGATCGCCAAAGAATAATACTTAGAAACGTCGAAAAAGCACGAACGCAAACCAATTTCATCGTGACGGAGAACAATGATACTGGAAAACAAACATTTCATGACAATATTGACTCGATAGGCTGGATATTCAATATAAACTGAGTAAAATCAATTAATTAATTTTCTCCTCTTTTTGAATTTCACTTTGTGCAAGTAGTATTGCGACTACACTGTTGTGAATGGAAATACTACCGTACCGTTTCGATTAAACGCACGTGTCTCCCTCGTCTCTTATACACATCGTTCTCCACCGATCGACGCCCATGATTGTTATCGTCTTAATTCAGACGATTGCTGTCGAGTTTGAATCTAGTTTTTTCAGATGGGGTCCGGTCCGGGAAATATTTCAAAATCGTCACCTGTAAAGCACCACCGCAACGTGGTGAGACGCGTGCACTCAGATTATTTTTAATGACGAAATAGCTGACAAAAGCCGCACTGTGCCGTACAACTGTCGTACAACCGTTGGCGGACAAATCCAACTCAGCTCTCTGAGTTCTGGCTGCCCTCTATCTGCCATCTTGGTGCCCATTGATCAAGTCAGTGGTGCGTAGCCAACAAAAATAAGATAAGCGTCGAGGAAAAATTATTGAACTCATGTTACTTAAATATCCATAACTCCGTAACGAAGAATCGTATCACATTATTGTTTTTCTGGAAATGTTCTTAAAAAGGCTATTCTACACCACTATATAAGTTTTGAGAAATAAAAAAAATGTTTCGACTTCGAGTGAGTGCCTGGCTTAAGATGCTATAAATGATAATGATGATGTTGAAGACAACGATGTGTATGATCATGGTGAGACCAAAAGTGAATCGTGATGATATTATGATGATGATGTTGACAGCAGTGATGACGATAGTGGCAACGGCGAGGAGAATGATAACGACAACATTTTCAGCGAGCTGATACCTTGCTCATTATTTCAGGTTTCAGAAACTCTTAATGAAATCCAGAAAGTAGATGAGAAACTTAGGAGTAATGGGAAGTCTGCTACAGAAGAAACAGATCGTTATCGTGAGATTGTTTACGTTTAAGTTTATGTTTCCCCCTTAAAATAAAATGTTTAAAATGTTTGTCTCACTGTATAGTTGTTACTCGTGTTATTTAAATTATTTACTTTGCATTCATCGAGCCGATACTATTTCATTGTATGTTTACATGTACATTTGACAATACATTTAATCTGTATCTGTAAATAACGGCTAATTATCTGATAATGTGACAATAATAATAAAGTTTTATTTGTTATTATTATTAATCATTGTTTTATCGTATTTATCATAATAATAATGATAACAATAATAATAATAAATAATAAAATAAATTTGTGTTGTTATTATTTTTAATCATTGTTAGCGTATTGTTGTCATTAGCGTTGACATTGCTATAGTCATAATTATTTTTACATTAACGAAATATTTGTTCTTTTCTTCTCTCTCTCTGCTGCTCATTTTCATCCTCTCATCCCTCCTCCTCTTTCCCCTTCTCCTCCTCCTCATCATTTTCTACTTCTTTTAATAACAAATTGCAACTATTTTTACTACATAGATGCAAGTTATGTAACATTTGAAGATAATTTTACTGGTAAATATGATCAGGAAATTACGCCTAATGATGCAGGCGAAAGTGTTGCTATTACCATCGGTCTGACAGGTAATTTATGGAAGTAGCAAGACAGGGTGATATACCGTATTTAATCGAAAGTTGGTGGGCGTTTATTGTATGGTTATTTTAGAGGGCGTTTATTCGAGAGAGTCGTTTATTCTTTTAGTGTCAAATAGACGCCCCCTTAATTTCACTGTAAATGTAGAACTACAACACATAATTACCGTAAAAAGATGTTATTGCGTGATCATAAATACTGATCCAACCAGGTAAGAAAACATGATTCTACTGGAGTACAACATTAATAGAATATGTTGAGATAATGTTGCCATTTAAGGCGGGGAGGAGGGGGCGTGTATTGGAGGAACAGATTAACGCCCGGGGCGTTTACTCGAGAGAGGCGTTTTCGAAACTTAGGCTGAAGGGGTTATTCGAGGGGCATTTATTCAAAGTGGGGCGTTTATTCGAATAAATACAGTAATCGTTTGTCCTAGAGCCTGTTCTAAAATAATTAGCACGCGTCAATAGCGTCAATCAAAACATTTTTGATGGTGCCCTGTTGCTTAGTTTAATTAGGAAAATGGGGACAGGGAGGGGTGGTAAATGGGGGTGGGATGAAATCACTATAGTTATACTAGAATATTATTATTATTATTATTATTATTATTATTATTATTATTATTATTATTATTATATTATTATTATTATTATTATTATTATTATTACTGTATTATTATTATTATTATTATTATTATTATTATTATTATTAATATAAGGGAAAACACGAAATGTTTATAATTAAAAACAAGTCTAAGTCTTAAAATGCTATTTCAATGTTTACATATAGTAATTAGGCCTACAGTAATTAGCAAGAACGTAGTATCTGTTGTTTACGGCTCAGGCTGCTATAGCAAAGGTTTAGTGGCGATCTGCTGCGCAGTGGTCGATATATCAGGCTAGGCCGCTGAAAGTCTAGTCCCCAGTGAGTTGCGAGACGTTTTTGGCGGCGCTGTTTCAAAATAATTATACCCGATAAAATGGTGTAAAAACACTTCTCTTGCAGAAACGGAAAATGTGTCTTTCTTCACATGTTTTACGTATAAGGAAGCGATATCATTTGAACAGCAAAATTTTACTGATTTTGGTGATAAGTATGTCATATTTAGAATCATGTAATAAATCATTTACAACTAGGCTAGAGCAAAAGTTTAATTAGATTGCAACTAGACTAGAGCAGACGTCTAATTAGAGTGCATACTACGCCCTCTGTCTGGATGCGACCAAACAATATACCACAATCATACGCTAGACGTGTATGGGCGATTCCATTATTTTCATTTATGCTAGATAAGTTCAAAGAGGAAAAAACACAATTTTTTCTGAACTTGACGTTGTCCCATGGCCTTTTCTTCCCAAAAGTTAATCGTCTCTTTCTTAGATTATTATGTACAATTCCACCAAATTAATTTTGATCCATGTCTTAAGTTTTGCGTAATCTTACTGAGACAGACAGACAAACGGGCAGACCTGGATGATACATAGGCCCTATGCCTAACCTCCTTGGCAGAGGTAACAACTCTTTATTTTTTTTCTTTTATCACTTTCTAAGTACATATAGTTGTTTTTCGTTTTGATTATTCCATTCCTCTTCTATCGCGTTTTCAATAATAACCGGGCCTGTTGTCTCTCCATTTTATTATGTTTGTTGGTGTGGTTAAAGATAAGGCATATAATCCTCACCTTATATAGGCCTACTCAACCAGCAAGTTTCAGAATCATAAACATAGAAATTAGTGTATTTAAAATGTTTAACCATAATGTTGAAGCTTGAGCAATGTATGTATACTCTCTATATATTTCTTAAATTATATCTTACCCAGTGTTAAGAAAACACAAAATATTACGTACAGATTTACAAGTGGACTACTAACGATAAATGCCTACGTTGGTGGGGAGAGCATTCGTGCCGACGTTACTTATAACTTTTCATCTACGGTAAGCATTATCAAATTACATTAATAGGGTATGGTTAGCCATCATGGCCATTGAAAACGCCGTTGTCTTTTTTTTAACGCCGTTATGTTGTTCAATTCCAACCAATTACAAGCTTTAAACAGCGCCGAAAGGGTCATAATAAAAGCGCCGTACTCTGAAAACGCTGTTCACAATAGTATGGCGCAAGACGTTTAGCCAATCACATTCCTTCTTTCATTCATTTGTGCGAGTATCTTGGCGGCACACAAGGCAAAGGTAATAAAATATAAGCTTACTCATTACAGAAGATAAAATCATCCGAGTTAAACTCCGTTTCTGAATCTTTCAATTGATTTATTGCAGAGTCTAACCCATTCTGTAGATGATGCTAGTTATGGACATTCATTGTTCTATAAACCGCGGGAACAGAATTTAGCGCGTGAGCATGTGCAGTGCCGATAAATTAAATCTATGAAAGAAGGAATGTGATTGGCTGACAGTCTATGGCCCTTGTGCCAAACTATGTGAACGGCGTTTTCAGAACGGCGCTTTTATTATGGCCCTTTCGGCGAAGTTTCAAGCGTGTGATTGGTTGAAATTAAACAATGTAACGGCGTTAAAATAAAACTAACTCCGCTCTCATTATCATGGCCCTTTCGGCACTGTTTCAAGCTTGTGATTTGTTGAAATTGAACAACGTAACAACAGCGTTAAAAACAAGTTAAAATAAAACTAACGCCATTTTCATTGTGACCCTTCTTATAATTACGGCATTTAAAAAAAATAATTTTGAAAAAATTAGGGCCGGCTCACTTGAATCTGCCACTGATTATTATGGCGTCATTGCGAGACTGCGTCAAAGTAACACTGCAGTGTAAACTTTTGGTAGGCTTATTACTTAATCGAAATAGAGAGACATCATATACGTGAAATTAGAAAAAAACAGTAATCCTATGTATGTAGATAATATTAAACACTAGTATATACGTACGGGTCATAATAATATACAAAAAGAATAAATCGTTTATATTAGAAATTTTGCACTTTTGAGTTTGTAAAAATATTGGCCTAATAAGGATACATGCTTCCAATTTCAACAACGTTCAGTACATTGTTTTCACAATAAATTTAGCCTCTGATAGTCGTTGCACCCATAAAATCGATCTAGTGGGTTTCTGAGATGGTTACAAAATGTTTAAACAATTGCGTTTTTACTTGATTTTGGTCCGAAAAATACGTACCGCACTTAGAAAAGTGAACAGACAAAATTCATGAGTCATGCGTAATTGTTATTATTTCCATTCGCTTGTAAAAGTGGGGTTTTAATTATAGAAGTTTGGTGAAAAGTGGGGGGGGCACGCGTCCCCCTGTCCCCACCAATCGACGCCCATGCTCTGACCACAAGCAATCAAGACAAGACTAGACAAGAACGACTCGCTCGACACGAAAATTTTAGTTTATTAGTTTATTTACAAATATTCAAATACCTCTGACCGCAAGCAATCAAGGAAAGACTAGACAAGAACAAACCCGCGCGACACGAAAAGTTTAGTGTATTATACAAACGTT